GTAGCCGATCCGAGTGTGCCGGCAGCAGAGGCAGGCTTGCTGTTTACGGAGGTGATTGTTCCCCGTGTGCTTAGCCCTCTGGCCGCAACCCGCCTGCTCTGCCTTGGGAGCTCCTTTACCTGCCGCAGGGGCCCCGCAGGGAAAAGGTCGTCCTGGGGACGCGGAGGAAAAATACCTTTCCCTTTAGCCTTCTAGGTTTGGCTGTACCGGGGAGCAATATTTGCCCCTCTCCATGTGTCTCCTTGGTATGTGAATCAGTTTTGGTAATTTTTTTTTTAACTTTTTTTTTTTTTGAGAGAGAGTGCACAACTGGGGGTGGGGCAGAGGGCAGAGGAAGAAGCAGACGCCCCGCTGAGCAGGGGGCCTAAGGATCCCAGGACCCTGAGATCATGACCCCAGCTGAAGGCAGCCGCTTAACCCGACTTAGCCACCCAGGCGCCCCTTAGTAATTATTTTTAAGAAATAGGAGACTCAAATTTTTTTGGGTTTCCCCTCTAATTGCCTAAAAGAATTTTTTTAAAGATTTTATTTTTAAGTAATCCCTAGACCCAAGGTGGGGCTCGAACTCACAACCCCGAGATCTAGAGTTGCACACTCTACTGACTGAGCCAGCCAAGTGTCCCTAACTGCCTAAGAGAATTTAGATTGAGCATCTGCTCAGGAAAGAGAGCTATCAGCATAGATAAGGACAGTATCATGTAAACTTGGTGTGGTTGCCCCTCTGGCAACCTCCAGTGTGTGTTTCTGCTTCTGTTTCTGTAGTTTGTGCTCTACTGCCCACCAGGCCCCGAGGATGTTGGCTGACCATGCTAGGGACTAATGCTGAGTGCAGGGATGCTCGTCCTCAGTATCTGGAAGGGACTGAAAATGTGGACGCTCAAAACCTATGCCAGCAACCCAGATCCCAAACCACAGCCAATGGCTCCTGGTGTCAAAGATTCCAAATACAACTGAGCAACTGTCAAATCGTATCTTTATGTAAAGGGAGAAAGGCGCTGGTGTTTGGTGAGCAAGAGTGAACACCAGGACTCTGTGCCTTAAGTGGCGGGTGGCTTAGTGCTGAGACAGAGTGAGAAAGCTTGATTTAAGAGCCCTTTGAAGAAGAGCTCTGTGTAGGAAGGTGGTGGTAAGTGCTGAAGCATTCAACCTGGGTGAGCCCTGTCCCCACCTGGAAGGTCCGGGCCTGGCGCAGGGCATGGCTCCTTAGAGGCTGGACTTCTGTGGGATGAACTCGGCACATTCTCTCTTGCAGGTCACCCGCTGCTCTGGGCTCGTGTTCCTTCATCTGTAATATGAAGAGAATGGACTGGATGCCTGCAAAAGTCCCTTACAGAACAGAGAGATGACAGTGATTTCTTCCTTTAACCTGGGTGACCCCCAGAAGACAAAGAGGTACTTTTTTTTTGGAAAAGGAGCATGAGATGATGAGGCTGGTTCTCTGTTGTTGCTGACCTTTTCCTACAGGGCCTGTGAACACTTGTCTCACTTGCCCAACGCAAGTGAACTTGTGTGAGAGTCCCGCAAAGGAAAATGAGCACCAGTTTGCCAAGAGGAAGTGGCTGAGGCAAGGATTGGCTCTCACTGGGACACCTTGCTGCCTTGGCTTAATGGGAGTGAGCAGAAGTCTCAAATGAATCCCCAAGTAAAAGTAACGGCATGCAGCATTCCTAGGACCAGGGGTCTGTTACCATAGCAACTGACTCCGGAGGTGTCCACTCAAGGTTTTGAGAACCCCAGGCCCCATCCTGGGCTACAGCAAGTCGTATGAGACCAAGTTCGCCTTACCTACCAGGAAAGGCAGTGAAGGACTCTATTTTCGCTCCATTATTCCACGTCCAGGATTCCAACCTTCCCTAGAGATGTCACATCGGCACCAAACGACTGCATGTTATGCATACAGGTGCGCAGAGCGAGCCCAATGATAAGCACAGCACCCCATGGTCAGAACTCTGGCAAATGTATTTCTGTTCTTGTGAAGACAACTCAGAACAAACTCCATTCTTCTGTTTTGTATACATTTATAGTAATTATTATCTTTATTTAAAAAGTCACTTCTCACATCTGTTTAGAGGGACCACTTTTTTTTTTTTTTAAATTAAGAGTCACATGCTCTACCAACAGAGTCAGCCCGGTGCACCTGAAGGACCACACTCTTGTACTGTTTTTTGTTGTTTTTTTTTTTTTAAGTAATCTCTATGCCCAACATGGGGCTCGAACTCAGGACCCTGAGATGAAGAGTTGCATGCTCTCCCGAGTCAGTCAGGCACCCCCACACTCTTGTATTGAGATAAAGAATTGCTTCTGGTCCCTTCCTTTGCCCCTGGCCCTTTGTTTCTAAGTACTTTTAGCCAAAATTTTTGTCTGGAATTTTGATTGTTAGGTACTTCCAAGTTAAATCTCCAAGGTTCTGATCATATTTGTTTGAATCAAGATCCAGGTTACATCAATCTAATCTTTTTTTTTTTTTTTAAAGATTTTATTTATTTATTTGAGAGAGAGAGAGCACACGAAAGGGGGACGGTGAGAAGGAGAAGCAGACTCCCCGCTGAGCAGGGAGCCCGATGCGGGACTCGATCCCGGGACTCCAGGATCATGACCTGAGCCGAAGGCAGTCGCTCAACCAACTGAGCCACCCAGGCGCCCACATCAATCTAATCTTAATCAAAAAAAGTTTTTCCCCCAAATAGTTCACGCCTTCTTCCTACTTAATTTTACCGTCAACCTTACCATTTTGAAAGTTAGCTGGCATGTGTTGTTTATTGTGGAAAACTGTAGAAAGCAAGACTACCTCGAGAACTATCACATTACCATAAAATGCTGAATCTGCTGTACTCTTTAAAGATTGTACTTAACAACTTTACAGCCAAAACCATCTATAGGGGCGCCTGGCTGGCTCAGTCAGTAGGGCATGCAACTCTTGATCTTGGGGTTGTTTAAGTTCAAACCCCATGGTGGGTATAGGGATTACTTAAAAAAAATTTTTTTTTAAATCTACAAAACAACCCATCTCAGGTCAGTGAAGTTGTTGGCTGCTACTTTCTTTTTCCTTTTTTTTTTTTTTTTTACGATTTTATTTTGGGGGCGCTTGGGTGGCTCAGTCATTAAGCGTCTGCCTTCGGCTCAGGTCATGATCCCAGGGTGCTGGGATGGAGCCCCACATCGGGCTCCCTGCTCAGCGGGAAGCCTGCTTCTCCCTCTCCCACTCCCCCTGCTTGTGTTCCCTCTCTCACTGTGTATCTCTCTATCAAATAAATAAAATCTTTTTAAAAAATTAAAAAAAAAAACAACTAACATCTACAAGATGATCCATCTCAGGTCAATGATGTTGTTGGTTGCTAGTTTCTTTTTCCTTTTTTTTTTTAAGATTTTATTTTGGGGGCACCTGGGTGGCTCAGCCGGTTAAGCATCTGCCTCCGGCTCAGGTAATGATCTCAGGATCCTGGGATTGAGCCCCACATCGGGCTCCCTGCTCAGCAGGGAGTCTGCTTCTCCCTCTCCCTCTGCCTGCAGCTCCCCCTGCTTGTGCGCTCTCTCTGTCAAATAAATAAATAAAATCTTTAAAAAATATATTTTATTTTTAAGTAATCTCTACACCGAACGTGGGGCTCAAACTTACAACCCCGAGATCAAGAGTCACATGCTCCACCAACTGAGCCAGCCAGGTGCCCCATTGATAGCCAGTTTCTAAGGATTTTTTTTTAATAAATCAAAGTTATTCCCTTATATTAGAATAATTAATTCCTGATCCATGCATTTGGGATATTTGAAATGTACATTAAGAGAAATTCTGTTGGAGCACCTGGGTGTCTCAGTCGGTTAAGCATCTGCCTTTGGCTCCGGTGGTGATCCTCGGGTCCTGGGATTGAGCCCCATCTGAGCTCCACGCCCAGTGGGGAGTCTGTTTCTCCCTCCCCCTCACTTGTGCTCTTGCTTTAGCTTGCTCTCTCTCTCTCAAGTAAATAAAATCTTTTAAAAAAAAAAAGAAATTCTCTTCGGGGCATTCATTAATTTGGGGGATTAATGAAGGCCTCTCTCTCTTTGTAAACTTAGACTAAGTGTAAATTATAATCTGCAGCCACATTCTGCGTATTTCTTAGGCCTCAAGCCACCACTCTGCCTTCATACATCTGGGATCTGAAAGGAAAGACAAGTTTAAAAACATAGTGTATATGACAAAAATGCCATGCACTTACAGGAAAGATATTGTTTGTTGTTGTTGTTGTTTGTTTGTTTCTTCTGGGTAGCCTGAGCTTCAAAAAGGAATATTCTTTGTTAGCGTGTGTCAGACTGGATGTGAGCGTTAACTGAGGGATTCTTGCTGAGTGTTCTCTGGCTTTCGGTCTCAGGGTGGGAAAGCTGAATATGCTTCTTCCAGCTGTGGCCAGAGCAGAGAAGGGGTCAGGACTGGGTCTGACAATACCTGGAGCTTACTGGTACAGACCCCGCAGTTCTGAAGGTACTTAAAGCATTGAGAAACTTAATGCTTAAAAAAGGACAGTGGTCAACACTAGGAAATAATTTTTGGTTTCAAAATCATCTGGTGAGAATGGCAATGGGCATGTATGCACAGGAACGTTCTTGAATTTCCCTCACTCCCAATAAGGCCTGGGCTCTCTGGGTAACAGTAACGTCCTCTTTGTGGAAAGCTGACATTGCAGACGCTTCTCTGACATCTGTCACTTACGAGGGAAGAAGGAATAAAACATTGGTGGCCACCATGGCCAAGAGCATATGCTTCCCCAAGAAAACAGAGCCTCCCACGCTGGGAACATGCAAGTGCTGTGAAACTGGTCTCCGATGAACTCCCATGAGAGGAAATTCTCATGTGACCATGGCACCTTATCTGTGGTTTCTTGCAATCACTTCATAGGACTATGGCGGCCACAGCTGATCACTTTTAACGCAGAACTCTGTTAAAGGAGCCTCACATTTCTACAGATTCCTCAAAAACAAAGGTTGAACTGAGAAGAAAGTAATGCTTAAAAAAAAAAAGTGGGCCTGTGCTGGCTTCAGCAGCACGTATCCTAAAACTGGAATGACACAGAGGTTAGCACGGCCTCTGCACAAGGATGAGGTGCAAATTCCTGAAGCATTCCTTATTAAAAAAAAAAAAAAAAAGTGGGCCTGGCCTCTTCATTTCACTAACCGTTACTTGTTTTTTTTCTACACTGGCATTTGCACACAAAGAAGACAGCGTGAACAAAGCAAAGGTATGACTGCTTCTTCACAGTGTGTGATTATTCTAGAACCCTGCTCAGGAGGCCGTCTCCTTACTCTTGCTTTGAGCAGCAGTAAACCAACAGGTCTCCTTTCAGTGTTTAACAACAGGAATTGGGGTCCTCTCAAGGATGTTGAAGGTGACAAAGTACTTTTGAAAGTGTGATGGTCAGCTTCTGAGTTGCAGAAAGATCGATAATATGCTTTCCTGGGCTGGTGGGTGGGGGAGGGGTGGAAGGAAAGGGAGAAGAGCTTCTTTTTGACCCTGATGGAATCGCTTCTCATTTTTCTGTTGAAGCAACAGAACCTGTGTGCCAGAATGGCTTCAATCCCCCGATTTCCTCCACAAAAAGGGAGGGTCGTGAACAGAATTTGAAACATACTGGTTGAATGTTTGGCGGTCACCTTCCCATAAATCCCTGTGAGGAGTCTCTTAGGAGGCTTCCCCTAGAGTCCAGTATTCAGCCTGCACGTGTCAGCATGAGTGGAGCTCGTCTCCGGAAATGACACTGTTCTCTCACTAGGGACACACCCCACTCCATCTTGCACATATTTGTGGTCCCAAAGGGGTAAGGTGGGGATGAAGATGGGCTGAGGGATGGAAGAGAATATATGGGCCAGTGCAAGCTCATCATGGGCACCCAGCGAGTTTCTGTGACAAGCAGGGCCTACAGAGAGTGACTCCAGGATGTCGCCTCATGAAAGGAAGCCTCCTTGTCATTCTCTTTCAATGGCATTTCCTTATCACTTTATGTAAAGACCCTACTTGCCCCCATTTGGTACACAAAGACAAATGCATGCAGAATTTACCTCTTTATTGATAATACATCTACAGGGGAGGTAAGCGTGGCAGGGTGTCAGTGGCACCAAAAGAACCCATCTCCAATCTGGCTTCTGAACACGACGGCATATTAGACCCATCCAACATGAAGACGAAAATGTGGTCCAGGTTAGCAGGTGGTGCATTTCTGAGCTTTGATGCTCTCTCATCTCTCCTACATTTGGCCCTCTTGTTCTTAAACCACACCTATAGTCAGAGGGAAAAAGGGATCGGTTTAGCATATCGAACACTTAATGTCATCATAGAAAAAAAATGCTACGTGCCACTGTATATGCCATGGAGATTTTACGAACCACACCAAGAGAAGTTATTTACTCAGGAAAGTTAACACCACACCCCGCTCCCTTTAGCTCATCCTTAGTGAGCACCATCTATGTGCCCAGTTCCGGAATAGGCTTATTGCTTTGTCTCTCTCCTCCCAGTTTTAATATTCAAATGGTTTTTTCAGGTATTGGATGCAGGTCTAGCTTATGAGTTGCCCTGGGTCCTTGTTGATCCAATGCCTGGTAATAGGATAAAGAAAGGTCTGTATCCTGACAGCTGATCATCCACCATCCAGTTACCACCTGCCCCCTCCTCACTAGAGAAAGAGTCACCTTGTTTTGAGGCGCAATCTGGGCATTGTAAATAGTGGGCCCTATTTAAAGTCCTATTGACGGGACCGGCTCCCTATTTGAATGGCTTATCTGCAGTACGACGTAAATAATTAATAGGAGGAAATACGTTGGGTTTTTAGACAGATTTCCTTCAAGGATGTCTAAGGGGTCATTAGTCCTCTGAAACCTCTTGAGAGTTAAAAAGTAGTCTGGCAAAGGAAGGCCTAGTCATGGGACCCCACGGAATCTGTGGCTTGTCTAGCTGGGACACGAGAGTTGCTGAAGCCACGAACACGGCCTTGATTTTAGCCTGTAGTGTTAAGGAAAGTGGAGACCAACTTGACCCAAATTAATGAAATGCTCACCGATCTTTGGCCACCCAGGAGTTGAGAGGAAAGAGGCACACCATTATGGCTATTGTCGGTTCTGCATGCTCCAAGCTGCCCCACCCTACAAACCTTCCTGGGCTCAGGACCAGGTCAGCTCACTCTGCTCTGGCTACAGTTCTGGGATCCTGGACCGGAGCCGCTGTTGCCCCGCAGGGCAGCTTATCCCACGCGCTGCTACTCAACCAGGAGGTCCTAATCCTATCCCTTATTTTTAAGGCAAGAAGGCGGAACATGCATTTTAGGAAGATAGTCAACAACAACGAGAGTAAGGGATCATAAAATGGCTCCTTCCTACAACTCCGTCAACCATTTTTGCAAACAAACACACAAACAAAACTGTCAGTTAGACTTCACCGTCTTCTCGGTATCCTAGTTGATGGGGTTAACATTATATTTAAAGCCTTTCATAAGTTTCCAAACTGCACAAAGGGCTTTTTCTCCTTGCCTGAGGCCTCATGTTTGCTCTCCTATTTTAAGATTGGTGGTATTCTGGGACGCCTGGGTGGCTCAGTCGGTTTAGCTTCTGCCTCCGGCTCAGATCATGACCCCAGGGTCCTGGGATCGAGCCCCACGGCAGGGTCCCTGCTCAGAGGGGAACCTGCTTCTCCCTCTGCCTGCCGCTCCCCTTGCTTGTGCTCTCTCTGACAAATAAATAAAGAAAATCTTAAAAAAAAAAAAAGATTGGTGGTATTTCTGCAGCATGAATACATAGTTTCAACAAGGCCAGTGTAATAGAGCCCGTTTTGGGGGGACCCAAGCGCACCAGTGGTCAGATCTCCGTGAACATAAGCTAACCGAGGCCCACAGCTAGCTATGCTCTCAGTGCTGTTCTCACAGAAACAGTTCTATTTGCAAAACAAAGGAGAAAACGTCTATTAAGTTCCTGGAGGAAATTCATACTGTGTGGTTTGGAAATATATGGGAACACTAAGCTTTTTCCCTGACTTGTTTCTTGTGGTTTATGTCCCCTTCAGAATGCCATGGAGAGAGCACTACATAAACCTGGGAAGGAGAAAAAGCTAGTCACCAAACCTTACATTTTTCTTTTCCTCTGCACATGTCTTGTCAGCCTGAAAAAGTGTTCCCAACCTCCTCCCATCTTTTCCAATCTGAGCCAGGCCTGGGGCCCCAGTCTCTGGTGTTGGGATGCTATTACTCAATGGTCAGCTTTGTTCGGCTGCTTTTCAGATACTCCCACCACCAGATACGCAACTTCTTCTCTTTAAGAAAAATTTTTTTAAGTTTATTTATTTATTTATTTATTTAGTGATCTCTACACCCAATGTGGGGCTCTAACCCACGACCCTGAGATCAAGAGTCGCTCACTCCTCCAACCGAGCCAGCCAGGTGTCCCTGCAACTCCTCACATGCATTCTGCAGCAAAAGCCCATATACCCATCCTGATTTCCTTTCCTTTCTTTTTTGGGCAAATATCACTTTGAAATAATGTAAATGGGTTTGGGGGTTGTTTTTCTTTTTTTGGTCACCTTTTTATCCCATGATCTACAAATTAGTCAACATTGCCTGAGGGAATAAAAGTATTTAAAAATAACACTATGAATCTACCCCAAAATAAGATCCACCCAAACCCCAAACAAATTCCATAAAACTCAACTCTTCAAAATAGTATCACCAAAATGAAAAAAAATCCCTAAATGTTAGAAATCTTCAAGAGAATATTCACGGGGCGCCTGGGTGGCTCAGTCGTCAAGCGTCTGCCTTCGGCTCAGGTCATGATCCCGGGTCCTGGGATCGAGCCCCGCATCGGGTTCCTGCTCGGCAGGAAGCCTGCTTCTCCCTCTCCCACTCCCCCTGCTTGTGTTCCCTCTCTCGCTGTGTCTCTCTCTGTCAAAAAACAAATAAAATCTTAAAAAAAGAGAGAGAATATTCACTTACACGTTCAGCAGCTTTGTAACACTGAATTTGTGTAGTGTCTGTAGGTCTATTTTGGCTATATGTAATTCTTCTCTAACCTTTTTGCCCTTCTCAGGTCAATTAATATTCATTCAATGTTGGGTTTTTTGACTTGTTTCTTCCATTCTTTAGACAAATGTCCAAGGCCTGCAAACTATCTCCCCATTCTCACACATAACGGAACTATTCTAGCCATGTTTTCAGGTTGATACATCAAAGTATTCCAGAAAATTAAAACTTAGAGCTGCCACTCTCTACACTGCTTTACCAAACACTTAAAAACAGTAGTAGGAGGACCAGGTACTTGGACTTTGAAGCTGTCTTCTGCCATCAGTCTCAGCACCACTAAACAGACACATTAGTTACTTATACAGTGTGTTCTGAGGATACCTTTCTCCCTCACCCCAATGTTTATAAATTCACCCATTTGGCTAAGAGTTTATGCTTGGCTTTAATTTAGTACACCTGAACCTTCTCATAACTGGCCCCTCTGTGCATTAATTTGAATACTTCCACAGTCAGCCTGAGCCCCAATATGACTCCACACAGAAGTATTCTCTAAAGGATATCTGTTTGAAGGAGTTGAACTTTATCGAATACACACATATACATGTATCTATGTGCTATATAGATATGTGGATACACCTCTCTATATGTTTGCAAATATATATATATTTAATTTTGTATAAAGAATAGGAGAAGCAATTCATTTCTTCTTTTCCTTTAAGAAACCATGTTCCCTCAGGTAATGGGAAATATCCATAAGCTGGAGTTCACACATCCCATTTTCTACCCACAGAGACTCCTAAAGTCAACTTATTTGCCAATGTTAAAAAAGACAACTAAACACACCAACTTGAGAATGTCTAGGACAAAAGTGTCCGAGTCCTAAAGCCGGTTTTTAGAATGCCCCGCCATCCAGGTTTACTGACCTGCACTCGGATTTCAGTCACATTCATGCGTCTGGCAAGTTCCCGTCTGAGAAGAGAAAACCACACATGTTTACTATTTGGAGTTGTGGATAAAATAAATGTATGGAGATACACTTTATGCTTGTTTTAAAATGTGTACCCTCCCCCTCAAGAACCTCCCCAAGTAAACTTTTCTGTCATTCCCAGCTCCAGGCTTTCCTTATCAATGGTTTCCC